GGCCTTAGGGGTTTAGGGCCTTCGGCTTGAGTAGGGTTTAGGGCCTTCGGGTTCAGTAGGGTTTAGGGTCTCGGGTTGAAACAAGAGAGGCAAAATCAAAGTCGCTTATCTCATCTCATGTCAGGAAACATTTCATGAAGCCGACTGTGCTTGCTCGGGCCACAACCATGTGAGGCAGCTCGCTGTAGGGAGCCCTTTTGCTTTCCGGGATTCTATTCTTTTCCCTAAACCCTGAACCCCAAACCCTAAAGCCTAATCTTTGCTTACAAAGGATGGTCATCAGGTTCCGGAGAAGCATTCATTGCCGGAGTAAGCCGACTGGTCCTGCGATCTTCTGAACCTAAACCCTAAACCGTCAACCCCAACCCCAAAAACCCAAATCGACCTAAACCCTAAACCCTCAACTCTTACACAGCATGGCCCCTGCCAGCGGGAATGGTGCGCAAGACAGCCCATCCGGTCCAAAAGCCGCACCAAAAGCGCCGAAGTTGTCCCCGGAACCAATTCCGGCAAGCCCGAGATCAGTCCCTTAAGAACTTTGGCGGTTTCTAATTACTCCCCAAACCCTGTACCATAGTTTACATATGCTAAACTTGAGGATACGAGCCAGCAAAATCTCCGAACTCAGGCGACTTCTGCTGCGTGACCTGGCCTGTTAGGCCAGCGGAGTTCCACCTCGGTTTTCGGATTTCGGGCGTCGGGCTGTGAGGCTTCAGGCTGTGAGGGGCTCAAGCTGTTTGTTGGGGGTTTAGGCGTTCAGGGCCGCTAAGAACCCAGAATCTAAGTTTTACAGCTGCATGTGACCTAACACTCCACCAAAAGTTAAGGGTTACGGTGATACATGGACAGGGGCTCGCTTGCATGGTCCCAGTTTTAGTAGAAGCAGCATGCGCTTCAGCAGACCCGAAGCACAGGCGGGAAAGGCCTCGTGCGCAGCGGCACTTACAAAGAGCTCTGCCAATCACCACAAGCGCGACATCCTTCAACAGACACAGAATCTGTGGCTTACATCTTTGCCCCGAGAACCCGCCTGGCCTCACTCGGCGCCCCAAGCACATTCGCCGCATGCGGCACGCGGCGGGCGCCGGGGTGAAGGGAATGAAGGGGTAAGGGCTTACCAAGCTTCTTGGTCGGTCGAGGGCAGGTCCTTTCGTCATAACTACTACCAGTATTCGCGAAAATTCAAAGAATAATAATCTCTACATTGCCCTAAGAAGCAAGAATCTTTTTTGTTTTCGGGTGGCTCTTAAGCAAAGAGTGGATAAAGGCAACCTCCGACCGCCTCCAGTGCAGGGTCTTGGGGCTTTGGGGCTTTGGGGTTTGGGGTTTCGGGGTAGATCAGACTGGGTGGGGGATGATGCTCGTATCTGCTTTGGCTCCTGCAGTCGCTATCCCAATGTTCAGAGAAGGGGACCATGAACTCATCAAGCATCAGGGGCTGTGAAGATGTGAAGAGGAAGAGGTCTATCCTTAAACCCCAAACATTAGGGTTCTGACTGCCTGGCTGGCGGTGATTGGCGCATGTGTTCACTCATATGGTGCAGGAAAGATGGGGTTGAACTACCTTTGCAATTTCGGAAGCAGGCTGATGTTTCAAGTCTCAGCGCCTAGGGGCCTGAAGGGAGAAAAAGGCACAGAAAGAGGAGCTTCATTGTCCCTGCGTTTAGGATTGAGGGGGGGGGGGAGGGGGGGGGTGGGGGAGGGGGGGGGGGGGGAGGTAGGGGGGGGGAGGGGGGGGGGGGGGGGGGGGGGGGGGGGGGGGTGGGAGTGTGGTGAGGGGGGGCGGGGAGGGCGAGGGGGGGGAGACCCTGGCCGCCAGGGCTTCAGGGTCCAGGGCCTAGACCCAAAAACATGTCACCAATGTCGACGCAGCTGAAGGCTCGAGCCAGACTCTCCCCTGTCACTGGCAAAAAGTAATTTTGTGCTGTTAGGGTTAGAGAAGCAACTCATCTATGTGGAGTCTGCATCGCTGGCCGTATGTGCGTGTCGAATCATTCGGATTCCAGACGGCAAGCCAGTGTTTACCTTCAAGAAGTCTGATCATGAATGTGGCATTCTGGTCGACCGGCATCAACAGCATCAAACAGCATGTTCACATAGCACACCACCGAATGATCTTCAAAACATTCCGGTGTCAGGTTGAACTCTCTCCAGCGCACTTGCTGTCTCTTGGTGCTCAGGACTCGTAGAGGTACGACATGTTCGTACTGCCGGGCCAGTTGCTCTATGAGATGGAAATCTGGCCTCGCCAAGAGTTCGCCTGCCATTCCTTCGACCACTTTGGAGGCCAACGCGCCTTTCATACTGCCGTGTGTGTCACGCAAACCTTTCTTGACAGCCAGGGTGGCCTGCTCGACGAAGTGTCGCAGGTTCAGAGCTCCCCAGGCCCGCGGGCATGGATCGTTCGCATGAACGTAGTTGGCAGCATGATCTCTTGTAAACTCCTTGAAGTCTCTGGCCTTCTGGGAGTTGCACCCGCAGGGGCCAAACACCATTGGGGCGCCGAAAGTGAAACTGCGCAAGTCCATGCCTGACAGGATCTTACTCAGATCGCTGTCTTTTCTGCACTCCTCCCACGCCAAGAACAAAGACATTTGGGCATACATGCCGCCCAAAGAATGACCCGCAAAACACACCCGCCGCACATCTTGCTCATGCGCAGCGACCAAGCGACTCAAAAACGCACGTGATTTCAAGAATCTGGTGCTCCTGATCGTGTTCGCAGCGCCACTGTGCGCGAAGAAGTCTTCCTGGCCCGTGATCTCATGGTCATGTTCCAGATTCCAGTTTAAGAAATCTAGGATGTAGGAGGTGCCTCTGAACACGATGAACAAAATCTTGCCAACCGGCAAGTCAGCAGTGACACTGGCTAGTTTCACAGATCGCCCGAAGTCCCCGGGCTGAATCACGGCATGGACTTCAAACTTTGCATGTGGGATGTGCGGTGGATCTGGGTCATCAGTGTAGACCCAAGAACTCAGCATAGCCGCCACCAACTCAGGAAACCTCAATGTGTTGTGGACGTCACTCGTGTGCAAGTCGAGGCTGAGGGGCCGGAAGCTGGGCATTTTGAAATCCACCACCAGAATCTTCTCAGCCTTCTCTGGCACTGCCACCACTCGGCCATTCACGGAGCAACTGGAGCGAAATTTCGAACGCTTTCCAATGATGCCTGAAGGCAGGTCTATGGCGAAAGCCTCGCGCGAGGTGGGATCCACCACCAGAATCTTCTCAGCATCATATGGCACTGCCACCACGCGGCCATTCACGGAGCAACTGGACATAAATCTACAAAAGAAAAAAAAGGGGCAAATGGAAAGAGGTATCCATTCGCCTACACTGATGCCTGACGGCAGGTCTATGGCGAAAGCCTCGCGCGATGTGGGATCCACCACCAGAATCTTCTTAGCAGCACATGGCACTGCCACCACTCGGCCATTCACGGAGCAACTGGAGCAAAAGTTCATGAAGCCTGCACTGATGCCTGACGGCAGGTCTATGGTGAACGCCTCGCGCGATGTGGGATCTACCACTAGAATCTTCGCAGCATTCCAGGGCACCGCCACCACTCGGCCATTCACGGAGCAACTGGACACAAATGTACGTGCGCCTACACTAATGCCTGACGGCAGGTCTATGGTGAACGCCTCGCGCGAGGTGGGATCCACCACCAGAATCTTCTCAGCCTTCTCTGGCACTGCCACCACTCGGCCATTCACGGAGCAACTGGAGCGAAAATTCGAACGCTTTCCAATGATGCCTGAAGGCAGGTCTATGGCGAAAGCCTCGCGCGAGGTGGGATCCACCACCAGAATCTTCTCAGCATCATATGGCACTGCCACCACGCGGCCATTCACGGAGCAACTGGACATAAATCTACAAAAGAAAAAAAAGGGGCAAATGGAAAGAGGTATCCATTCGCCTACACTGATGCCTGACGGCAGGTCTATGGCGAAAGCCTCGCGCGATGTGGGATCCACCACCAGAATCTTCTTAGCAGCACATGGCACTGCCACCACTCGGCCATTCACGGAGCAACTGGAGCAAAAGTTCATGAAGCCTGCACTGATGCCTGACGGCAGGTCTATGGTGAACGCCTCGCGCGATGTGGGATCTACCACTAGAATCTTCGCAGCATTCCAGGGCACCGCCACCACTCGGCCATTCACGGAGCAACTGGACACAAATGTACGTGCGCCTACACTAATGCCTGACGGCAGGTCTATGGTGAAAGCCTCGCGCGCGACGCGCCTTGCCCATGGCTAAGGGGCACTACCCCCCCCCCCCCCCCCCCCGGTTCTCCAGTGTTCCCACACAAGTGCTTTCGGGAACTTCAAAACATAAACCCTAACCCTAAACCCTAAACCCTAAGCCCCCCCCTAAACCCCTAAACCCCTAAACCCCTAAACCCCTAAACCCCTAAACCCCTAAACCCCTAAACCCCTAAACCCCTAAACCCCTAAACCCCTAACCCCCTAACCCCCTAAACCCCTAAACCCCTAAACCCCTAAACCCCTAAACCCCTAAACCCCTAAACCCCTAAACCCCTAAACCCCTAAACCCCTAAACCCCTAAACCCCCAAGGCCCTAAGGCCCTAAGGCCCTAAGGCCCTAAGGCCCTAAGGCCCTAAGGCCCTAAGGCCCTAAGGCCCTAAGGCCCTAAGGCCCTAAGGCCCTGAACCCGAAACCCTTACCACAAGAGGTATGCTAGGCCTTTTGGGTTCCCACGCAAAGCGCCTTTTTGAACCCGATCAGGGAGGCGAGCTGAACCCTGCAAGTAGGGTATAGGGTTTAAGTATAAGCCCAGCATTGAACCCCTGAGCCCTGATCCTAAACCCGCCCTAAAATGTACATCTCACACCCTATGAAACCTTATATAAACCCGAAACCCTAAACCCTATAAGCCCTAAACCCTTAAAAGCCCCCGAGGATCAACTGCCCACTCGGCCATCTCTTTCGGCGCGTACGTCTGTACAATGGTGGAAGCAGCCCTGGCAGCCTCAGAACCGCCGCGTCTTCCGCTGCGCCTGCAGTTTAGGGTTTAGGGTTTAGGGTTTACGGTTTAGGGTTCAGGGTTTTAGGGTTTAGGGCTTAAGGGGTTCGGGGTTTAGGGTTGAGGCTTTAGAGTTTGGGGTTTAGGCACCCACTTTGTGTCAGGGACGCTGAACCCTAAGCCCATGAGTCTTGCTGGACGTAGGATTTCGCACGAAAGCTGAACACAAACACACACAGATATGGGGGGTTTCCTATTAGGGGGGTCCCCATATTTGTAAACTCCCATATACAGTGCTAGCTAGTCGTGGAAGCATCAAGCATGAAATCATGTCAGGAGTGGATGGTAATAGTCGGTGTCAGTTGAAGTATTGACCATTTCTCTTGACAAAAATCATGTTAAAATCATTTGTACCCTTGACATTTAACTTTGCATCTTGAGATGCAAAAAAGAATGAGGTGGACCTGCCGGGTTTTTTAAAGGCCGAAGAGTCCGAAAGAACTGAGGAGGCAAATGGGGGGAGGGCGCATACAGTCAGGATAGATTGCCGTACAGTCTAGCGCTTCTGGAGGCGCAGTGCATCCCTAAACCCTAAACCGTAAAAACCCCCTGAGGCCCAAGCCCTAAGCCCTGAGCCCTATATGCCCCAAACCCTATACGGCCTTACTTGAGAAATTCTTCCGGTCCTGCCCCACTGGCTCTTCCGGACTGGCTGGTGCGGGTGCCGGTACCGGCGCCGGCGCCGGCGCGGCGGCGGCCGTGGCCTGGCATTCGAAGGGTGAAAGGCCTCTCAGGGTTGAGTAGCGTTTAGGGTTTAGGATTTAGGGCATAGGGTTTAGGGTTGAGGCTTGAGGGTTGACATCACAGGCAAAATCAAAGTCGCCGATCTCATCTCATGTCAGGAAACATTTCAGGAGGCCGCCTCTACCTGCTCGGGCCACCGCCCGCATGCTGAACATCCCTAAACCCTAAACCCTAAACCCTAAACCCCAAACCCAAAACCCAAAACCGCAGCGTGCCTTTGCCGGCTTCCGCGACGTCTTCAGCGGCTGACAGTCGGAGTCCCAGTACTCCTGCACCGGTCCATGATAGCAGCTTAGGATTTAGGGTTGCGGATTTGGGGTTTAGCTTTCGGGTCTAGCCTAAACCCCTACATTAAACCTGCAAACTAATTAGAACCCCAAAGCATAAACCCCAAGAATTCCTAGAGCCCTATCAAGACATTGTGACAGCCGAAACCCACAGGGGTTGAAGTGAAGCTTGGGCCAATGCGAGATGCCAGGGTCTAGGATTAGGGTTTAGGGTTTAGGGTATAGGACTGATGAGATCTCATGCCCCCAAGCTGGACTTTTGTTAAGAAACTTGAACTAGAAGTTCCCCTAATAATGAGGGCAACATGTCTTTTGAAAAAGAACCCCTATCATGATCACTTAAGTTTAAGTTCCATAACAAGAGCCCTAGCTACCTTCACAAGAAGTCCTAGTCGGGGTTGGGGCTGGGTCTCGGGCGCGCCTGGATGTCCTCAGCCATCCACAAGCTCTTGTACTTCTCCTGGAGCCTCGGGACGCGCAGCAGACACCCTTACGTATGGTTTCAGAAAAGAGCCAGCCCCCCGACAGTTCCACCTGTCCGTACAGGCGGCCGAAAGCTGAGTGCCTGAAAACCCTCTCTTCTCATTAAACTTGGCTCACTTAGCAGGGTAGCTATGAACTTAATTTTTTAGCTGCCTTAGTAAGAAACACCCCAAAAAAGTTACAGTAAAGCACCAAGCACCACAGGGTAAAAGATGGTCGGCTCAAGGCTCAAGATGGTTCATCAACGTCCTCTTCCACTCAAACCCTGCAAGTGTGGTTTCGCTTTGTCTACGCATCATGTCATGCAGATGGCATGCCATGCAGCACCCGAAACCAACATACTATCCAACAACAGTTAACGGCTTCTGCCAGCTCTAGAACCCTCCGCTCCATCAGTTGCCGGCAAGACTACGATTACGACTACGACTACAACGACGACGACTGCTACCACTGCTACGGGGCATTATCTGTAAGGTTTGGGTAAAACGTGCGCGCAACCATCGCAAGCCATGCTTCAAGTGCCCTCACAGCAAGCTGAATCCTGAGCGCAGCACTCTTGAAAAGTGAGCTCCTTCACTGGCCAGCGAAGTGGCATGTCAGGCTTAGGCTTTGGGCTCATACATGTTTTTATTGGAACATAGACATTATTTCTTGGAACCCTAAACCCTAAACCCTAATAGTATCCAGTTGCAACACCCAGGAACTGCGGCGCAATCTCGCAACACATTGCCGCGAGTCATGGTACTGAGTTGGAAGCTGAAAAAGATGGTGCTAACAGCTCCACGGCCTAAGCGCCCTGAAGCCCTAAACCCTAAACCCTAAACCCTAAACCCTAAACCCTAAACCCTAAACCCTAAACCTTAACCCCTAACCCCTAACCCTAAGCCCCTCGCCTGGATACTGAACCCCTCGCGCAACAATCGGGCCGAGTCCTGCGAGTCATCGGGATCAATCCGCTTCTCCTCCCCCTGGTCAGGTTCATGCGGCGAGTGAACAAAAGCTTGACGGGCAAAGCTTTTGCGGATCCGGGAAATTCGGGAGATGTCGGAACTTGCCTGACCGACAAACATGCAGAATGACAAATGTGGGCCCTAAACCCTAAACCCTGAAACTAAACCCTAAACCTCAAACTCCCGTGTCACCGACAAGCACCCCACCTCCTCCACTGGATCATCCTCCTCCGCTTCAGGAACCTCCTCAGCTGGGGTCCATGACTCTCAAAAGCAGACTTCGAAGTTCATCCCTAAGCCCTAAACTACCCTGAACCCTGAACACTATAGAAAATCCCTACGCATTCTGAGGCTCTGAGTCCTTAAGCGCAATCACAGACACCCCAGGCAGTTGCTACAAGCCCTCAAAAAACAGCGCTTTCCTAGCGCGGAGACCCCTGAACCATAAACCAAAAAGCAACGACAGTTTCGAGGACAGCGAGCGCGGCCACGACCACGCCGATGCGAGAGCGTGATTCTCAGCCAAATTTTGGCAGGCTTTGAGAAAAAACAACCATGGTCAACAGCGTGGGGGCCGGCCACATCGACCAGCCCCTCTTCTAGACGTCGGAACCCTTTAAGATGACGCGCTGTCCGGGGAGTACGCTGGAAAGTACATCGACTTCAAGGAAACCTGGTAATGATGAAATGATAGCCCTACAACCAGTTCTGGACACTTTACACTTCGCAAGGGAAAGCACCTCAGCCCTGATATGTATACTTGAGGAGTGGGAAGTCAAAGTTCCCGAAAATCTTAGCAATGCATGTGTACACGTCGAGATCTTCGACCTCTTAAGCTATTGCCTATTGCGATCTCATGAATGCGGTGTGTATTCGAGTAGGCAGGACTTTAATGAGACTTGAGTAAGGCTGAAGATGTTTTTGAAGGATTGAGCTGACAGAAAACTAAACAGGTAATAGTAAATCGCCAAGCTATTTCAAATGTTTGGGGCGGGGCTGTGATAACAAGCCTGCGATACAACTTTTTTGATGGCATACAAGGTTTGCTAGCGCTCTCGGAGTAGAGTCGACCTCAAGGGTGCTTTCAGTTGACCAAGTCTCGCAGATAATACAGGGGCATCAGAATTAGAATAGGGTTTCGGAATTCAAAAGCTATGGTAGAAATTTCTAGGGACCATAAGGGAATACAATTAGTAGCTATTCCGATCCCTGTATTGCACATATTTCTTGTACATGGGCGACCTTCCCAGTCAAAAAACTTCGTATCACAGAAATTACCTCAAGCAAGGAAAAGGTCGATGGGGCGGCAAAAGATGAGCATAAGTAAATACACTTTAAACCACACAACAAATATGACTAATTAGATGTTTAAAATTTATACCTAGTACTATGCAAAATGGTCTTCTTGACACACAAGCAATGGGTACGTACCCCTGTCATGCATCCATGCATGAATCCTCAGCCGAAGCTCTCCCCTCATCCCCTAGACCCGAAACCCTAAACCTTAAACCCTCAACCCTCAACCCTCAACCCCTCTCCGGCGCCGAGGCCCCTGCTGGCTCGGGCGCCGGCGAAGGCGCCGGCGCTGAGGGCGCCGACTTCGCCGGGGCTTTGGCCGCGGGCCGCGGCCGGGCCTGATGGGCTGAAACCCTCGACTTTTAGGGTAATTACATGTACATGGGCCCTTTACCCTTTAATAGACCCCGAACCCTAAACAATGGGCTGAAACCCTCAAGGGAATAAGACCTCAGGGACCCCTAGAAGGGACCCTTAATCTTTTTCCCCAAAAAACCTAGAGTATCCTTACATAGTCCCTAAAAACCTAAGTGGCCCCCAGATAACCCCTAAATGACTCCTAAGGTGCCTGATAAGGGTCCCTTGAAAGACTCGTACCCCTAAGTTCACATCCCTGAAGGTGCCCCCCCGAATTTTCTCCGAATGTGGCCCGAAAATTCCCTCTGAGGATCTTCAAAACGGGTCCCCAAACCCCAAGGGTGCAACCTAAGGCGTCCAAGGTCGAATCCCATGAACCCTAGACTCTTCGGGTAGGTACATGGTCGCTTAGTGTGGGCCCTGAAAAGGTGACCCTAAAAAAATCCCTTATCTAGCCTTGAATAGACCCGAAACCCTAAACACTAATCCTAAACCCTGGCGTTCTTGAGAATCAGACTGTAGAGCTTTCATGAATGAGTTGCAAATCTCCAAGAGACTCCCCTAAGTAGGTCATGCTATCATCTGACTTTCCGCTTGAAACCCTGGACTTTGCCAGGGTGATTGTGCAACAAGCCTGAGCACCATCAATCGCACTCTTAGTTGAGATTGTCAGTGCGAGAAGTCGTGCGTCGGTCGTGCCCAAAAGGCACCCTGCACCATTGCTACTGTTGGTGTGAGTGTGTGATTGCGCCACAATTTCTAGAACGCATCCAGAACGCACCCCATGACCAGTGTTCTGGATATTTCTGGATCTGTTTCGATTGTGTGAGAAGTTTTACAACGCACCCAGAATGCACCCCTAACTAGGCTGTGATATCAACCAACAAATAGAATTCATTCTATTGTGATTAATATTAGCTAAGTCTCCCATGATTAATTACAATTTATGTAGGTATAGGGCCTAGGGTTCTAAGACGAGAGTTTTTAGAGCCTGCAATCTGAGTATTAGGCAGGGGCTGGGGGAGGGGGGCAGCTGAATCATGGACCCTTTTTGGGTCTCTGTTGTACACGACTTATTCATAATGGCTTAGGCGGGTACCAAAAAGGGCCTGCCACGCAGATAAACCCGAAACCCCCCAAAAGGTCAACCCTAAACCCCAACCCTCTAGCCCCCTGGCGCCGGCCTCCGTCATCTCGGGGGGGCGCTGCGCGTTGAGGATAGCCGTGGCATCTGCCCTGTGCATGGTCGGGTCATAGAGGTTCTTGGGTATCGAGTGACGGCATGGCAGCGTCGAGGGTCGAGGGCTTAGGGCAGTGAAGCTTAACATCCTGACCTGAACCCTAAACCCTACATACTAAACCCTGAAACCCGAACACCTTGCGCTCTAAACCGAGCCGGCTCGACCATGAAATGCTTTGGGGTTGTGCTTTGGGATGCTTTGAGGGAGGCATTTGGGGTTAAGGTGACGGGCTCAAAACCCTAAACCCTAAACCCTAAACCCTAAACCCTAAACCCTAAACCCTTTAGAGTCTTGGAGTTGACTGTTTAGCACTGAGAGCTTCAGGGGCACTCCAAACCCTAAACCACAGAAGCCCTAAATTCGGGGTTTAGGGTTTAGGGGTGTTGGGGTTCAGGGAACCCTAAACCCTAAACCCTCAACCCTAAACCCTAAACCCTAAAGAGCCCACAGGGCGCGGATCTGCCATTGCCGAGGTCCGCGCGCTTCAGGCAAGGGGCATTTGTCGGGATGCGCCTCGGCCCAGGCACTCAGATTGTAAACGGAAGGGTCTAGGGTTTAGGGTTTAGGGTTTAGGGTTTAGGGTTTAGGGTTTAGGGTTTAGGGTTTAGGGTTTAGCGTTTAGGGTTTAAGGTTTGGGGTTTAGGCTTTAGGGTTTAGGGTTGCGGGTTGAGGGCTACAAGTTGTGTATTCGGGCTAAGGGTCTTGGCTGCTTTGCACCCGAAGTAAGGGCTTGACCGTAAGGGTTTAGGGCACCCGATCAGCAGCATTCGGGTGCCGACCAGCAAGTAGATCTTGCGGGGATCCAGCGGCAAGTCGGAACCTTCGTCAAAGGCCAGCACAAAGTCATCAAAGGCCCCCCGCCCCCCAGTATATCAACCTAAGTTTCGGGTTTAAAGGCTTTTGTAAGGTTGAGGGTTTAAACTGATCTCTGCAGCATTGGACGAATTCGGGTTTAGTAGCAGCTTTCAACTCCAGTTGGTTAGCGAACTGGACGTGTGTGTGTGTGTGTATGTGTATATATATATATATGTCTCTCTATCTACCAGGGCTGTAGGTTGCTGTGAAATCAAGATTTTCCTCCTACAGTTCCCTCCCAGTTCTCAAACCTTCCCTCAGACCCGAGATCTGAACTCAAGACCCTAACCCCAAGCCTAGGGTTAAAAGCAGGTTCTCTATGTAAGTAGATTTACTAGGGAGCCCAGCCCCATAAAACGGGAGAATGCCTGGACCACCGCCCCAACTGAGTTGTTTCTTGATCTCATTTCTAAAGTTGCAAGGCCCGTGGTCCATTGAGCCAAGGTTCATAAACACTTGCACCGTATGTACAATCACTCATTCTGGGAAGTCCTGTTTTGTTGCTGTAACCTTGTACATCCTAAACCCTGCAAGGCTTGGGCTCCTGTTCTGTGCAGAAGAGAGGCCCAATAAGCCCGAAGCAGCTCAAGACGATCCAACCCCTGTATCTGGAGCAGCCCTGTACCTCAAACAAGGGTTGCTTGACCCAATACTCATGCACACTCCCACTTTTCAGGGTATATGTAGGCTACCCTAGGTGCGGAATATGCAACTCTAGCCCCGAACTCGTCAAATTCCCGCACCACAACATGAGGGAAATGGAGCCCGGCCTCTAGCCCTTGCCTCTGCTATCTTGGTCCAGACCTCGCCAGCCAGCTTAGGTGCAACCCTAAACCCTTTAAACCCTAAATTTAGAGCAGCCCTGACCATGCTCGCTCAGGATACGTGCTCCAAGGATTTCTGCGTTCCGCCTCGATGATAATGTTCGTGGATGCTTGACATGCTTTGCTATTCTTATCTTCGCCTGCTCCCCTGCTAGTAAACCCTAAACCCTAAACCCTAAACCCGGGTCCCATCTAACGTGCTGCAGCTGGTTCTCTTGCTTGCAGGCAGACCTTCCAAAATCCTTTCATGTAGCCCCGGCCATGTGCCGGTGAAATCCGTGCCCGGGGACTTCAGCTCTCTGTCTCTATACACTTGCTGCCGCAGAGCTTCTTGATTTGCTCCCAACCATTCGGGCTGAAATCGTTGCCATTTTGCAAGCACACTTTCTTCAGCCCCTGCAGCTTGTTCAAGCCCTGGACGACTTGCTGCCCGAGCTCGTCCCCCAAGCGGTTGCCTTGCAAGTCCAGACTTTTAAGCTCCAGGTGCGGCTGGGCCAGTAGACCCCGCACCAGCGCTGTGGCGGCCTGCGGCTCGCCATCAATATAGGCAATTGTTCTTTGCTTGGCTACTCGGCCGAGGGCTTCAGCAATGCTGGAGCTCAGGGCGAGACGATGTGCCTGGAACTCCTGCAGATTCACCTTGCCCACCGTCGAGGCGAGGAGCGGCACAAGCAGCGGGTCCCGCAGCTTCAGGTCGGCGAAGAGAACAAAATCGAGCTCCAAGTGCTCCAGCGCAGCGAAGAATCGTTTCCAGGCCGTCCGGGACGGCTGTCGGTCATCCGCTGGGCAGTGGGAGCACGCCATGGTAACCTGCCGTATGTTCGGCGCAAGTTCCAGGGCTGTGGCCGCACCTTCCACTTGTGTCGCATCCGTGAGGTCCCAATGCACGAAATGCACGGCAGCAAAAAGTCCCTGTAACTCTTGTGCGTCCTTGCTTGTCGGCCTCCAAGCCCCCAGGCCAGCCTGCACTGCACCATCCAGCAAACGCTCGGGCATGTCGCGGCTGAGGTTGGCTAATGCGGAGACCAGTCTCGCAGGTGGTGGTGCAGGCATCTGCCAAACAGGCACTGCCAAGGCCTTTTCCAGGCCAACCGCCGACCCCCACTTGAAGAGTTCCGAAGTCGGAGCGCTCCCGACTCGGTCTGGCCTTTGCGAGATATGGGTGTGAATGTGTTCGAGCAATCCCAGGTCCTCCGGTTTTAGCTCAGCGAGCTTGGACAGCAGGGCGAGTGGCTTAACTCTTGCAGAATGACCTTCCAGCATGAGCTCGCCAGATAACTGATCAAGATTCCACAGTCCAGCTCCACCACAAGCTCCCAGCCGGTGAAGGCAGGCGGCAACGTGGGCAATCCCCGAGGGCATCAGGACGGGCTTGGGCAGGACCAGCTCTAGTTCAGCTGAGAGTACCGTCTCTCCACCACCCAGGCCTTCTTCATCAACCAACTTACACAGCTGTGCAAGGTTATGATACTGTGGGGTGCAGCTAAGCTCCAGAAGATGACAGGTGGCATCGCCAGAGGCCACAATGCCATGCAGGACCTCTGGCCTCGTGTAGTTGCGCAGCAAGTCGCAGCCATGCCGCCGGGCCGCCCAAGCCACTGGCGCGTCCGCGTTTTGGAAGCTGACCTTTACGGTGTGGACTTGGGCGTGTGGCCACATATCCGAAGCTTTTCTGCTGTTTGCGCGCGGCGCCACAAAGAAGTCCGGCGGCTCCTCCGGCCGCCCTGTCCAGGGGGACAGGGGCAGCACCATGGGATCGTCTGGGAGGGAGCCGTTCTCGCCACAAAGAGCATATCGCTGTCGCAGCAAGTTGCTCTCGGCACATCGTCGATTCTCCTTGAATCGAAGCTTCTCGGAGACCGTGGGCTCCAGCAGCGAAGCCGACGATTCGACGAGGAAGGCCTCAGGGGCGCAAAGAGTTTTCCACAAACTGGCAGCAAAAACGTCGGCAGTTTGCTGGCCAAGGGGCTGAGTCTTGCAAGATGGGCAACACCAGCAAGCGCAGGGACGCAGCCTTGAAGGGATCGAACTCCAACACTTCCACGTTCACATTGCCGATGTCCTCAGCGGAGGCGGCCGTCTTCAAGCTGTAGCTGACGTTAGGAGCCTCCTGCGAGCTCGCAAGGAGAAGCGCGAAGGCGTCTGTGGGTATGGGAGGACCCTTGCGCAGCTCGATGGTCTCCGCCTCTGCATGAAAGCGCTGCTCCCCGACCTGCAGACAACAAATGACGATTAATCCCTTCCCCCTAATACTACAACCCCCCTAATTTTTAATATTATTTTTCCCGGACCCTGCCGGCACCCAGCCCAATACCAAACCTGTTTGAGACTTAGGGGGGGATGGGTTCAGGGCCTTCGCCCCTGAGTTGAGCCATTAGGGTTTCAGGGTTTAGGGCTGAAGGCTGACAGGATTAGGATTCAGGGCTCAGGGTTTTATTCGACTTCGGAATTCAGGTTTTAAGGGTTTAGGCCTCCCCTAATTTAAAATATTTTTTTCGGGCCCAGGCGAATTTCAGATTTGGGGGGGGATTTAGAATTAGAGGGAGGGGATTAAAGAAGAGGGAGCCTACCTTCTAAAAGCTGCATGCCTCGAGCACGACTGCCAAGGTCAGCTGGGCTGAAAGCCCATGCCAGTCTGGTCGCACATCCCTGAAGTGGAGCTGTTGGCCCTGCTGGCCCTCGACCTGTGCCAAGGCACAGAAGCCCTCATAGCCTGCAGACGGCCCCTGGCAGCCGCGCAGCTCGCCGCTGAGCGCGCGGTTCCCGGCGGCGCGTGGCGCCAGCATGACGCGACTCTTTCGCTCAGCTTCCTCGTGGTCCATGTGGTTATTCAAGGCCTGAAAGCAGCCGTCCCGTCCGAGGAAAGCAGCCAAACAGTTCAAGCTGCCTCTGCACCTCGCAGCGCAGGCATCTTCGCTGGCATTGCGCACATCCTCGAACGTGGTCCAGAGAGGGACCTCCGCAGATGGCCGGTTTTTTGCCGAAACAGGAAGTCCAAGGAAGAAATCCACCAGCTCCACCCGCAGCTCCAAACTGTCCATGCCTGCGCAGACACTTTACTATTCTTAATGGAATGGCTATAGCACGGGCAAGATCCAGCAGCACAAGCAACGGAACGTGCGGCCTGACTCTCCCCATGCTTGATCGCCGGAAGTTATAAAAACCATTGGCAACAAGAGCAGTTATTCGCAATGGCGATGAAACAAAAAGGCCAGGAGTCAGGCGCAACAAACACCAGCTGAAGCACGGGACATGAGCAAAGGTTCACACTAGAAGTAGCTCGGCTTGTTCCTCCACAGAGAGCAAAAAAAGGAGGCGGTCACAGGAGAGAAAGAAAGGAGGTGTTTTAAACCTCTGCGCTGACATCACTGTTTTCAAGGGGCCCACAAAGACAACAACAAGTCATTATTTTCTTAAGCTTAAAAGGCTTTATCATGAGCTTTTCATTCGCGAGCACCATGAATAGAATAATATAAGCCACTGAATGGACGGAACGAAGACACAACGTTAAGCATAAGAAATACAGTGAACGAATTCATGTCTTACAATTTAATATGTTTAATCATTTCCTTTTCATCCTTATGTTTCGTAAGTAATAAAGTTAAGGTAAAAAGGACAAGGAACTGTAAGAATATTATACATTAATTCATATATCTCTCTACCTTTTACCTCTTTTCCCTCACTTTCTTTACGTATTGAAACTATCAAGAATACCCAAGCTAATATTCGTATATTCCTGTAGCACTTACAGTTAAAAATGGGACGTCTTTTTGTTGCAGATGCTTCCAGGACGCCCTGCCTGGCGGGACACTGATCACCGATGCCGGCAGCGCAGACACGGCCACGTTGGCGATGAAGTCGCTGCTGTGGAGCTGGAGGCTGACGGGCAGCGTCCTGCGGGTCCGGGAAGCAACCCGAACAGCACCATCCAGCACCCGAACGACTACACACACTCCTAAATTCCCAAGACTTCGCGCTTGTCTGCATTTGCTCAATGATAGACTCAGTTTCCTGATTGTCATTGAAATTAATACAGCCTCTGCAAGGCGCAATAACCTGTTTTTTTAAAGGAGAGAAGCGCACCCGGTACGGCGTCGCTTGCACAGAGGGGCGCAGGCCTTGGACCCGCAGCGTGGCCACCCGCGGGATCAAAGCGTTTGAAAGCCTGGGGACGCTTTTTTGGGTGACGTCAATGCAGGATAATTGCTAACATTGTACTTGTGTGTATACTGTATATATATATATATATATATGTACATAGAGCATCTGCTCTTTAATATGTCCTGGTCTACTGCATGCTTCTGAAAACAAGACAGACAAGACGCAGCGCTTGAAATATTTGTTCCACTGGAATTGCGTAACCGCAAACCTCGAACCTTCAACGCCAACCTCCCCAAAACTTGCCAAGAAGCTGGACATCGGAAACCACGGCACCCCTCTCCTCCTCCACGGCTTCCTTCTGGGGTCTCGCTGCACCATGCGGTGTCGCCGGCTGCCTTTCTGAAGGTTTTTTGGGGTTTTTGGGGGCTTTAGGAGGGGAGGGGTTGAGTCCGACGGACGAACTGAGGGGTAACCCGACAGTCTTCAAGTCGCATGTAAAGCATACACTTAGTTGATTTGGTTTGTCAGCTGTCCGTTGTGCTTGCTTCACATGCCAAGCTTGCACTGGCATATTATGAAATCTGAATATACTACAAGCTCCCTCTGCTTCTTTATTCAAACACCTTTGGCTGCGTTGCTGAACCGAGATCCAGCGGGTTGATGGAGCATGGGCAAAGGCGACCACGGCCTCGGCAGGGTCTCGGGTCAGAACATGAGCACCTGCAAGGTCTAAGGTTTGCATTTACAGCAGTACACTCCAATGCAGAAGTCGTGGTACTATGATGGGCATCGAGCGGCCACCTGCTTGAAGGACGTGTCCATGTGCAAGGCATAGTGGCGCTGGGATGCGTGGAAAGCGATGCCGTGCACAGAGCTCGC